TTCATACAATAACTAGAATTAACAATAATGCAATTCCTTTATATTTGGAATAATAAATTCATAATAATGTTATAGTAATTGAGACTCTTGAACTTATTGGACTTATATTCTCTGTATCTATATGTGTAATTTGGATTAAAAATATGCATGAAATGTTTGATTATTTGGATCACGGTTTTAACTTAGTTTATTTTATTTCATTTATGGTGTGTGTAATATTTTAAATTATTTGAATGTCAGTTCAATCCTTTCTAGCATGCATAGGTATGCAATGATGCAGATGGTTTGAGATGAAATTTGTTTTATTGTGTGTTGAGCTAAATGACATCATTTATTGGTGTTGATTTATGGCATTCATATTCATGATGATCGATTGAAATTAGGACACGTTTATGATGAAATTTCAGCGTGTGGTATGACATCACTCAGTATACAATGAATAACACTTGTCAAGGTGTCTTTTTCTTCTTCTTTTTTGTGTTGGGATCACATTGGAGTTGTAAGACATGTGACACCTTCTTAGTGTTGCTCTTCAAGGAGAGGAGCTATAGTCTGGACTTAAACTTTATGCCTTTAGTCAAGCACATCTTGAGTATTGGTAAGTTTGGGACCATCCAATTATATCAAAAGATTCTTGTTAGACTATATGTGTTAGCCTATAACTCTAGTCAATGATATAAGGATAGATAGTGATATAAGAGAGGTGTATTGCATTTCTCCATATATAATGTTTTATAAGTAATATGTGTAACACCTTCTTTTTAGGCCATATTAACTTTTAAATAGAACCAATTGGAACTATTTTTTATGGCTTTAAGTTAGAAAAATTCAAATTTTAAAATTTATTAAATTCAAGTTAATATTTATGTAACCCTAAACTAAGGCCAAACTTTGAAAAACCATAAGTGATTCTAAAAAAATCAAAATAAGGTGATCCTAAATTCTATTGAAAGCTCTTAACGTGATCTTCAGAGAAAAAAATTCTTTCTTGTATCAAGCCTTGATCAACCATTTTCAGAATTCACATAAAGTAGCATTATTCATATGGTAAATTTTCAATTTTTCAGAATTTATACATAACTTTCTATACAAAACTCCAATTTTAATAAAGCACTACTTGATTTAAAGCTAAAAATATGATCTATAGGTCTATCAATTTTCAGCCCAAAACTCATTCATTTGACCAAAATTACATTGGCATGAAATTTCACTATTAAAAAGGTTATTTCATACCATTTTCATAACTTTTCTTGATTTTTTTTCCTTGGCATTATATAATTTTTCCATTCACATATCACATGTTTAAACACCATATTTCCAATCCATTATAGCTACCAAGGTCAACAATGCAAGTATCCAAACTCCAAACATAAATTATTACAAATTTACATAACAAAGTTCATATAAAATCATGAATAAAATAAGCGTGGCCAATCCTCATTCCATCATAATCTCCTTGCCCTTCTCCTTAGATGTTCCATCTACTAGATGGTTGATTAATTAAACATGGAAAGAGTGAGATTTGATAAAAATCTCAGTAGAAAGAATTACAATAACCATGCTAAACATGTAATGCAAGAATGTTATAGGTCACTAACTAAATATCATGCATACTAGCATGCTCTTGTACCATGGAAAGGGAGCAATCAAACATACCATCAAACCACTCAACATTGCATAAAGCCAAGGCACATTATGCATGGGGTTAATCAAATTATCATCCATCTAACTCTACCACATCATGGCATAGAAAAATTCAAGCAATATATAGCAAAACAAGCAAAGCAAATTAACATTTAAATTACAAGTTCATTACTACCTCTTTAATAATCCAAGTATTCGACCTCCTTTGCTCCTTCTGTGTCTTTGATCAATGCCTATCAACTCATGCATAAATATATTATATTATCAACAATGTCACATAAAATACCATTAGGTATCAAGACAACTCTAGAACCCTCACTTTCTTTGACTTTTGACTTTAATTTTTCATCTTTGTTTTGACAAGTCTCAATGGCCATTCCTGCACAATTTTTCATGTAGAATTCAAATATCAACTTGGTTTTATCAAAATCAAATCCCTTCCTAATGTTATGCCCTTGGCTGAATAGTATATATATTAGGATTAGAAATTTTATTTTTGACTCCAATACTTTCAAACACTTTCTCTTGGTATTTTCCCACATAAAACCACATTTTAAACTCATTGAAATCATCAAATTAATCTGAAACAATCTCTAACCCATTGAACCATGCTTGGCCGAATTGCCTCCATGATTAGGGAATTTGGAAAATCAATCAAAATGTCAACCAAACAAGCTAATCCAAGCCCTAAATCATAATTTCTATCCTTCTCTAATGATTCCTCATAAATTCAAAATTCTAGATAGCATGACACCTTAGGATTTTTGTCACCAAACTCTACTTGAAACAAGCTAAAACCATAGGCAAATAAAAGCTCTTACATACCTTGATAACTCTTAATCTTTGCTTGATAATTCCTTGATGATTTCAGTGTGTTCCTTGCCTTTTTAGTTAAGTTTTTCAGCAATAAAACCTTCCCCTTTAAGGTGCCAAAATGACCAAATTGAAGGGCATGGGAGGGGGTAAATATAGGCAACAATTTTGGCCTCCAAGCCCTCCCACAAAAATCTATTGCTCTAAGCTCATGCGTCCACCTCCATATGCTGTGAAAATTTCAGGCAAGTCAAATGTCTCATGTAATTAAGTGTTTAGGATAAACCATGTGATAATTTTCCATTATTTTATTCCTTAATCCACATGGACCACTTAGGCCACAAAATTTTTGGACATTCTTGACCTAGAATCATGCCCTATGGGTTGGAGAAAGAAGAAAGAAATGTTACTTTTCAATTCCCAACATTTCTCAACACCATTTCGCTATATTGGCTAAAATTTCTGTCTAATTTCCAGTAATAGCTCTGGACCTCCGAAAATTTATTTCTACCCATCATAAATCTTCTTTTAATATAGGAAGGTCTCTTGAATTTTTCTAAAATTTATTTCACTCTTTAACTACCTGTATTGAAATTTCTCCAAAATCGAATTTTACCAATAAGATTTCGGCAATAATTATTTTAAAATTAATCCTTTCACCTACAGAACTTGGAAATAATTTTATAATCTCAAATAAATCCTTAAATAATTTTGTAATATTTTTTCCAGAATTATTGATGTCTCTATATATTTAAAATAAATTGTTTCCAGTCGATTTTCCATTATTTCACCGAAAAAACCTTTGTTTACAGAAAATTCTATAATAAATCATTTTTATGCTAATTCCACTTCCAAGGTCTCAAATATGGTTCCAAACTCTCTAATTTATTTTTCTATGATTTTCTGAAAATTTTACCTCATTTTTCTATTTTGCCCTTCCTGGATCGATAATTTCAAAAATATCAGTCCGTCAAGGGGTTAGATCTTATCTCAAAAGTTGTTCCAACTCTGAATCTACTTTACTACTTGGCCCTCTGTCTAATTTATTATTCACACTCTTAGGGTTAAAATCAGTAGGATGTGAAAATATGAGACTACGGTTTTTTAATTAAGAATGAGCTTGAGATAAATGTGATATCTATAAAGTACATCTACATAATTAAATACATGATTATAATTTGCTGAGTATTGTGTCCTGATGTTTGCTTGTGTATGTTAAGATTTTAGTAGTTATAGAGAGGTTAGATCGCATTCATTTATATTAACATTTTCATATGAGAAATCAAATAGGACACAAGAGAAGATATCATAGGGGTGAGCCTTAAAGGCTTTTTTGTGCTCCTTAAACATAGATTGTTATTATATTTAATTGTCATGACTCTAGCACTTTCTGTTTCTTATTTTGCAATTTAAATTATTTTAAGAACTCAAAGTGACGCACCGAGTTATTTTGAATAATTTATCGTTGTCTTTTATTTGGGCTTGTGTCTTTGGGATAGTATCCTTAAGCCAAGTATTATCGATTGAATTTGAAAGGGATGTTACATTTGACCCCTTTGGAGGTGATGAATTAAAACAGCCAAGCAAATAAATATACTTTGAAAAGCAAATGTAATAATTAAGAAAAACCAGCTAATATAAGAAAAATAATTAATTGAAAAGGTCTACTTTTTAGATATGCTAGAACAAATACAGCTGGTTGAAGAAGTGGGTTTTTTTTTTAAATAAAATTTTCAAGAAATACACCAATGGAAATCTAAAAGGTAACGTTTAATGTAAAAAGTGGGAACTGTTTTTTTTTTTGTCTTAAAAGTGGGAACTTTTAAAACCAATCGTTTTTATATTAGGAGGTGTTTGAATAAGAATAAAACTATAGTTTTAGAAGTGTTTTTACAGTATACGAAGTAAATATGTGAAACAGTTTGCCTCGATTTACAGAAAAATGCTTCTGAAAAGTAATTCTGAGGTTAGCCAAACACCCCCTAAAAGCAAGGTATATCATAGTATTGAGTTCTATTAAATAGTGTTAATGATAATCGATCAATTGATTGATCAATTCATAAATATTGAATTATCTATCATGTTATTAATCAACCTTAGTGCTAAGTTACAGAGACGTTTTATCTGATACATGATCGATTAACTTTTGATCGATCAGGTGATTGATCAATTTACTAAACCAGAAATAACTTAAATTGTTATCATCAATACCTTAAATTTAAGATTATTTATCTCTGTTTTGATATAAAGCATAAGTTAAAAAAAATTGATTTTTTATTTCTGTTTTTCAAAACAGAAGTAAATAGTGAGACTTCTTAATTCTCTTTTCCACAAGAGAAGTAAATAGTGGTGACTTTTTACTTCTTTTTTAACATAAGAGAAGTAAAAAGTTATCCTATTTACTACTGTTTTCTTGAAATAGACATGAATGTGTTCTTTTTAAAAAAAAAAAATTGACTTCCTGAATACAGTTCACTTGCCATACTACTAACATGTTAAAAGAACAGCCACAACAGCCACTTTCCAATAAGTTAAAATAGTCTAACATTTAAATCAGTCAATATTTTCAGCCAACATATATCAACGATCATGATTTCATCAATACTTAGCACATCAACTAACTAGTCAAAAAAACAAATTGCAAAAGTCAAAATTGATAACCTATTATCTCTAAACATAAATTTCATAAATCTCTAGACCACCATTCTTGAAGCAGTTGCTGTGCCAAAAAGTCTCGGATAAAATCAATATCATCAACGGTGTATGATCAGTCATTATCAAAAATCTGTAAATTAACAAATGAATAAATTTAAACATACGAAGAAAACAAAATAAGTAACAATTCAATTTAAAAATTCAACTATTACAAAACTAAAATTATATTTAGTTACCTCTTCAAAAATGGAGAAATACGTAAGGAAACCAATACCTTCAACTAAAGACGAACCCAATACCTTCACTATGCTCTTTCGTTGACACAACGATGTCAAGTTCCGTAACTTGATAATCACACATTAATCCTTAATTACCTTCTTGCATTACATCAGAATGGTTCAAATGAATTAATAATGAAATGAACAGGACATACTTCAAAATTGTTGCTCCTTGTTACTCGTGCGTGCTTTGCAAGTATCAAGCCCTGTTCAACAAATTCCAGTCAATGTCCAAGTAGCACTTACTACAGCAACAAATCAAATGCTCTTGCTAAAACAAATAATGAAATTTTTCAAGAAAAAGGGTTTGGGTTCAAATATGAAAAGTTACAAACAAATTCCAGCAAGTTATATTTTGCTTAAGCAATGCCAATTTCACCAAATACAAGCAAGGAACACTTGAAAACAAGTCTGCATAGATTTAAAATGACACTCAATCAACTAGAAGAGAATGAAGAAATATTTATTTTGTTTTTTTTCTAAAGGTGGTGCTCTTATGTGATCTAACAAAACAAGCTGACAAGTGATGATTCAAGGTGTTCTAACCCTTCAAGGAACAATTAGTCAAGCAGTTTTATGGTAAGAAAATGAGCAACAACAGCACAATTAGATTCGGATGATTAGCTAACTCAAATCTCAACAATTTCACACTTGTGACAGCAAACACAGTAGCTCAAAATTAGTAATTTGACAATAGAATTAGCGTCTACAGCAACTCAAAAATTTTCAGCAAGATCAAGGCATAAGAGTTTAATAACACCAATGACCAATTTCAGTTCAAATCTGGAGATTTCACCAAACAGCATAAGAGCACGAGCATTATCTAAGGAATAAGCTCACAGGTTATTGAAGCTATCTGTAGAACAGGAAATAACCAAGTCTTGTGACAAGTGAACTCAATCAAAGTTGGCAAACTGAGGAGCTACAGAATTTGAAAACTACATATGAAGCAGAGTACCTTAAAAGAAAGTTGATGACAATATAAATGAATATTGCTAAAAGAACACCGTGAACAGATGTTAACGTCTTCTAGGAAATTAATATAGTAACAGGCTTGATTGATATGAATAACAAGCTTCTACTCTCAAGAATCACCGCCAATAATAAGATTGAATCTGTTTGGTGAATGTTAAGCCAAAAAATATAATTCCATTGTATTGATCTGATCTAACTAGTTAACAAAATAACTCTTTAAAAACTAAGTTCTCATGCAACTGTGGGTAGATTCATATGGCATTGACATTGATCTGCTATCTGATGATCCCTTCAACTTCCTTAAACATTTTATCACGATCCTCCCAATAGCAGACACAACAATTTGACACAAGATTACCTTATTAGGTCCCAAACAACTTATGAAATGCAACATTACAATAATGGATTGGCTTAGAAATTAACCAAAGTGAAGTTGCCACAAAGACAGCTAGAAAGGACCAAGCATTACAGTATATATATGTGCTCAAGTAAAGAGAATCAAGACAGAATAAGTTTAATCCTAATACTCCAGAACAAGTTTATAGATTGCAGTTAAAGGTTCCCTTCATAAAAGGAAGTCATCAAAAAAATATACTGAAGGGGGAAATACATTTTTTTTCCAATACCTGAAGTGTGTGCAGAAGATCTCAAGTAGCTTCGGGAAAGTCTGGACGAAGCATCAATGCTAGTCTATAGCTCTTTATCGCAGCCTCTACATGTCTACTGTACAACAAGCAAAACACAGGTGCTGAGAGATCAATTGGGAAGTAAAATCCACATAGTACAAAGAGAAGATCCAATCCTCTTGCTGCACAAACGTATTATTAATATAAGGAAATGATTTAAAATAGATATCATATAATAGAAGAAGTTTAGATATATACTAACTCTGATAAAGCATCGATACTTTAGTACTTCTAACAATCCATCTGGTGTCTTTAATTTAACCCTTTTCTCAGATTCAAAAATCATGCTGCTAATATCGTGCTAGATAACTTGCCTTCTACTTTTTCCTTTTCCACCTTAGGCAAGAAGCATTAGGGCATGATTCTAAAAGTTTCTTTGGTTCTTCTTCGATCAACCATTTGACCAAAATAGAGAAGAGAGTCTGCGATTTCACTCCCTCCTCCATCAATCCACAATCGCGACTCCATCTTCCAAAATCATCATCTTCCTCTGACCATCGGCCAAAGAATGAAGGAGCAGACCTCGTTGAACCAGTCGGCAACAATGAACTAAAAGCCTTCAACTTCATCTCCCATCAACCTCACAAACCCATTCAGCCAAACCAAAACCATCAACACCTTGATCTCTTTAATCTTCATCACCGAAGTGTGTGCGCACATAGACAAAGAGGGGTCACTGAGCGTGCGCGTGCTCAGGGAAGGAGGTCGGGCGGAGTGTGTACACGCAGAGGGGCGAGTGGAGATGTTACGGTATTTAGGGTACAAATAGAGCTGACGAAGACTGTTAGATTTTTGGGCTTGTATCCGCCCTTGATGGGCCGGATTATTTAACTGGGTATAGAGAGAATATATCAGTCAAATATCCAAGGATATGTTTGACTTGGTCAAACATCCTGAATCATATCCAATCGGTTACGATATAAATCTAATTAATTTATATTAAATTAATTAATTTATATTGTGTAGATTAAATATATATTAAGTATATATATTTAGAATTAATTGTGATTGATTCTGGATTTAAATTCAAATATCATGATATTATGAGATAAGAATATATTATATCTTATCTCAGATTTTATCTGATGGGCTCAGTGGATATTTTTATGCTACCCAAAATATCCCTGACAAAAGCTATAAATAGAGGCTTCCCCCCATCAGTTCAAATCACTCCAGTAGTAGAGCTTTCCTACTATCTCTCTCTCTCTCTCTTATTTTCTTTCTTGCAAAAGAGGTGCTCTGCTGTGCACTTAAAAGCTCAGACTTTTATAGTCTAGCTTAAGCGTGAGCTAAGAAGATCCGACCGACCCAACCCGAGATCCGACCCGGTATGTTTTCGATCCATTCTGAAATTTTTCTTACATTGGTATCAGTGACAAGCTGAACGGAGACAATTACAGCATGTGGCGTCGTAAGATATCGTATGTCCTTGAAGAATAAGAAGTCACTGATGTGTTGACTACTTTTCTTCCAGAGCCTGAGGCAAATGCATCGCGAAGGGACCAGGACGGCTACGCGGCCTGGAAAAGAAGGGACACTATCGCCAGAATAACCATGCTAAGTGCCATGACTGACGATGTGTTGGTGCAATTCGAAACACACCCTTCAGCCTCTGCCATGTGGGCAGCACTGAAATCCGAATTTGACGGTACCTCTGCTGCGAGGCTTAGGAGACTCACCGTCAAACTTGATAATTTCAAGCTGGGTCCTAACACTCCCATAAGGCATCACCTAAGGGCAATGCAGAACTTAATAAGGGAGCTTAAGGAAGCCGGAGGCGCTTTATCTGATGAGCAACAGATTCAAGCTGTCATGAGATCTCTCCCAGCAAGTTGGGATACCATGAAGCACACCATTACTCATAATGAGAGTATAAAAACCTTTGCTGATGTAGCTCGCCACCTCCAACTGGAGGATGATCGGATGGAAACTGTGAAGCCTGTCAGTAAGGCATATTTAACTGAAGGAAAGGGAGGGGCAACCTCCCAAAACCAGTCCAAGAGAAGCAAAGGCTCTCAAAATAAGAAAGGCGGCCCTAAAGTGAAGAAAGGAAAGAGTTCCTTCAAGAAAGGCAAGAAACCTGCAAAGAAGCGGAACATAGCAACCATCAAATGCTATGCTTGCCAACAAAAGGGGCATTATGCCAAGGACTGCCCTGAGCAGAAAAAGGTATTGGATTCAGATTCAATACATTTCTCTTATGTTTCTAGCACTGCGTTTATTGCTGAAACTAATCCTGTTTGGGTTATAGACTCAGGGGCCACAGACCATGTGAGCAAGGATCGTGGGAACTTCACAGAATTTCGTCGGTTACCAGCAAGAAGCAGATGGCTTTATGTTGGGAACAACGCAAGAGTAGAAGTCAAAGGGATCGGTACTTGTGAGCTGACCCTGCATGGAGGAAAGACCCTAGTCCTGCAAAATGTCCTCTACGCTCCGGAAATCCGACGAAATCTTGTGTCTGTTATTTCCTTAGTTAGATTTCATTTCAATGTCTTTTTTCATGATTTCACAGTAGACATTTCGTATGGGACCAAATTTTTCAGTTTCTGGTTATGTTTCGGATGGTTTCTTTGTTTTAGAAAATTTCAATGATAATTTTTCTAGTTCTTGCTATGCGCTTTCTTCCGATGTCAATTACGATATATGGCACGCTAGATTAGGACATATTGGTCAAGAACGCATGACCAAACTGGCAAAAGAGGGTTTGCTAGGAAACGTGTCCAAAAAGGAAATGTCTCTGTGTGAACATTGCCTTGCTGGCAAGAGCACAAGGAAGCCTTTCGGAAAGGCAACCAGGGCTAACCATCCTCTTGAGTTGGTACACTCTGATATTTGCGGACCAATGAGTGTTAGGGCACGTCATGGAGCATGGTATTTTATTACCTTCATCGATGATTCTTCCCATATGGCTATACTTACCTGATTTCCCACAAATCTGAGGCATTAGAGTGCTTTAGAAAATATCTCAATCTAGTGGAAAATCAGCTAGGTTCAAGAATCAAAGCCTTAAGAACTGACCGAGGCCGAGAATACCTCTCTGATCAGTTCAAGGAGCTCTGTGAAGAAAGGGGTATTGTTAGGCAACTAACAATCCCTGGCACTCCTCAACAGAACGGAGTTGCTGAAAGGAGAAATAGAACTCTCCTCGATATGGTTAGATCAATGATGGCACAAGCTGAGCTTCCAACCTCATATTGGGGAGATGCTCTTTTAACTGCCACATTCATACTTAACCGAGTGCCTTCTAAATCAGTCACTACAACCCCTTATGAATCATGGACAAACCGCAAACCGGATCTAAGCATCCTAAGACCATGGGGGTCAGCGGCCTATATTCGTGATTCTTCCCATAAATATGACAAGCTAGAACCGAGGGGCAAAAAGTGTATCTTCATAAGATACTCTGAGAACTCTAAGGGGTATGTCTTCATTGGTGAAAATGATGACGGCTCAGTGACTGAGATAGAGTCAAGGGACGCAACATTCATAGAAACCGAATATCCTAGCAAGGGAGTATTGATCGAACAAGCCGTCTTTATGAGGATGATGGCAATGAGGTACAACAAAGTGTTCCTCAGTCTACTGATCCGAGTGGGAGGGTTGAACCATTTTCACAACAAGGTTTAACCCAGTCACAGGAAGTAAGTCCTACAACAACCCCACTTAGGAGAAGTAACAGAGACAAAACTCCTAAGAGACGCTTCTCAATTGAAGGAGCAACCTTCATCGTTAGTCCAGAACACGATGAAGAAGACCCTGTAAGTGTTAAAGAAGCACTAACAGGACCTGCTAAGGAAAAATGGCAGAAGGCCTTACAAGAGGAAATGGATTCCATGGAATCCAACCAAGTATGGGAATTAGTTGATCTACCACCTGGCCGAAAGGCAATTGGGAGCAAGTGGGTTCTCAAGTACAAACGTAAGGCTGATGGATCAATTGATAAACCCAAAGCAAGGTTAGTTGCCAAAGGGTATACACAACGGGAAGGAGTGGATTACGCAGACACCTTCTCACCTGTTGTACGTTTCAACTCGATACGACTGATACTGGCTTTAGTAGCAAGTTTAGACTTAGAGTTACATCAGATGGATGTAAAAACCGCTTTCTTGAATGGAGAACTAGATGAGGAAATCTATATGGAACAGCCTGAGGGCTTCATACAGAAAGGGAACGAACAAAAGGTTTGTAAACTCTTGAGATCCATTTATGGACTCAAGCAATCATCTAGGCAGTGGTACTTAAGGTTCCACAAAGCTATAAGCTCCTATGACTTTGAAATGATCGAGGAAGATCACTGTGTTTATATCAAGCGGTTTGGAGACAACTTTGTCATTCTATCCCTCTATGTCGATGACATACTACTGGCTGGTACCAATCTGAAACTAATAAAGATGATCAAAGAGTGGTTATCCTTGAACTTCGAGATGAAAGACATGGGCGAAGCAGAATATATCTTAGGTGTTAAGATAAGAAGAGATCGTTCTAGAAAATTGCTGTCATTGTCACAAAAGGCATACATAGCAAAGATTCTTGAGCGTTTCAATATGAGAGACTGCAAGCCTATGGATACCCCTGTGGTTAAGGGACATAACCTAAGTGAGGAAATGCGCCCTACAAAACAATGCGATATAGAACGCATGAAGAGAGTCCCATACTCAAGTGCCGTTGGCAGCCTAATGTACGCCATGTTGTGTACCAGGCCAGACATATGCTTCGCAGTCGGACTTGTGAGTCGATTCCAATCCAATCCAGGAGTCAAACACTGGGAAGCTGTAAAGAGGATTATGAGATATCTAAAAGGAACCATGGACTATGAGCTATGCTATCAAGGAAATGGCCTTCGTGCGGAGGGTTATTCCGATGCTGATTGGGCAGGAGACCTGGACGAGCGACACTCGACGTCAGGCTATGCTTTCCTACTGAATAACGGAGCAATCTCCTGGAGCAGCAAGAAACAAACGTGTGTGTCTCTTTCATCCATGGAAGCAGAATATGTAGCTTGTTCTGCAGCTGTCCAAGAAGCTGTGTGGCTCAAAAGATTCTTAGTACGATTGGGAATCCATGGTGGGAGTGAGGGACCAACTCTGATTCACTGCGATAGTCAAGCAGCAATAGCCTATGCAAAGGACCCTAAGTACCACAATCGTACTAAGCATATAGACATAAAGTATCACTTTGTAAGGGATATGATCGCTAAGAAACAAGTGACAGTTCAATACTTGTCCACTCATAAGATGTTGGCAGATCCCCTAACCAAGCCTATAGCTAGAGATCCTTTCGTTAAGCATGTAAAGGCCTTGGGCATGCGTAGAGCATGATGTATTGAACTCCTTTTTCTTTTTGATCCTTTTTGTTCAAATACGCAGGCACAAGGCATGTTGTACTGAACCTTTTCCTCTTACTTAGTAATTCAATGCATTTTATCCAGTTCAAAGAAATTTTTCTTGTATATTTGTGTATTTATACATGCATAGGCACAAGGTATGCAATACAATATGTCGTACAGGTCACAAGGTTGGCTCACTCACACGAGCAACCGCCTCGCTATGTTCTCATGGGATATAGAAGGTTTGACAGCAGATGATCACCATGAGATGGTAGAGAAGAATCACTGCACAAATGTCACCTCAGCTAGACTGAGATGAGACCCATAAAAGTTTGGGCCGAATCATGGATAATGTGTCATCCATGAGACCTGTAGCCAGACAAGGAACTCTTTACTAGTGAGACGTCATATATAGTTGTGATGAAAGAGCTCCTGGTTCAAATGTTGGAGTGCATTTGGAACTTAAGTCTGTATGGTGCTATTAAAACCAAAAGCGACATACTCCACTTAGTGGATTGAGCACCGTAACATGCAATTCATACTGCATGAGCTCACTCAAATCCGCAACAAGGGACGTAGATGGAAGATCCCTGATCCATTACGGTGTGAGTCCCAGAAAGGAAATAAACCTTTCATAATGCCCTTAAGACTTAGACAACATCACAAGGTTTTGGTTTAGTGGCAGCTACTCTAGCCTAAACCCCATGGTCAAGAATGATGCGATCTAACGGGTCAAGACTGAGAAAGCGACTATGCCAAATCTAAATGATGAATAGTCAGAAGGAAGATTTATCCTGAAATACACATCTACGTTGGTGTCTGTGACATGTCCCTTGCAGGTTGAACAGAACAACTAAGCAAGTGTGGATACCATACGTATGAGAAGGCAATCTGAGTAAACAAAATAACTCGAGAGGGATTAGATATGCCACAAGTAAAGTGTATGGATAAAACTAGGGCATTCGAGGCAACAAGCATACAATTTGCAGGTACACCAAGGGTGTTCTTGTGTGCTGGTCCTGCATAAAGGATTCCTAGTGCACAGGCGCCCGAATCGATGACGTCATGCCCACGCGGTCACGGCAGACACCTAGTATGAAGCAATGAAAGATTTAGCTATCGCACGATGGGCAGCCCATCAAGTGCGAGTGGGAGATGTTAGATTTTTGGGCTTGGATCCGCCCTTGATGGGCCGGATTATTTGACCGGGTATAAAGAGAATATATCAGTCAAATATCCAAGCGATATTGTGATATGTTTGACTTGGTCAAACACCCTGAATCATATCCAATCGGTTACGATATAAATCTAATTAATTTATATTAAATTAATTAATTTATATTGTGTAGATTAAATATATATTAAGTATATATATTTAGAATTAATTGTGATTGATTCTGGATTTAAATTCAAATATCATGATATTATGAGATAAGAATATATTATATCTTATCTCAGATTTTATCTGATGGGCTCAGTGGATATTTTTATGCTACCCAAAATATCCCTGACAAAAGCTATAAATAGAGGCTTCCCCCCATCAGTTCAAATCACTCCAGTAGTAGAGCTTTCCTACTATCTCTCTCTCTCTCTCTCTTATTTTCTTTCTTGCAAAAGAGGTGCTCTGCTGTGCACTTAAAAGCTCAGACTTTTATAGTCTAGCTTAAGCGTGAGCTAAGAAGATCCGACCGACCCGACCCGAGATCCGACCCGGTATGTTTTCGATCCATTCTGAAATTTTTCTTACAAAGACAAAAGAGAAAATAAGTTATAAAAATTTTAGAGAATGTTCTCGTCTCTTTATAAAAACAGAGGAGAATACTCTGAATTCTTGTCTGGTTCTAAAAAACAGGCGAGAATGCCTTTCTTTTTTCTCGTCTATTTTAAGAAGTGGATGAGAAAAGTGACTTTCAGTGACTTTTCTCCTTTGTTTTTCAAAATAGGCATGAGTAGGAGAGGAAAAAAATGTATTTTGTTGTAGTATTACTAACAGAAAAGATCGGGACTATGCCTTTTAAGAGGAACCTTGAATGATTGACGATCACTGCCTCCTAGTGAAACGTTGGAGACGCAACTTCAACTTATGAAAGGCTAATAATCAACATCGTATCGCAGCATAAATTCGTACACCAGACCTACTCGATGGAATTCTATAATGTCGAGTCATTGGGAATAATAGGAAATATGGTGGGTTAAACCATCAAAATAGAAAGATCCACATCTATATATGATAAGAGAGGCTTTGCTAGGATTTGTGTGGAAATTGATCTCCAACAGCCTCTACTACCTGCATTCACAACCTGGGGTGAAGATCGTTAAATAATCTATAAAGGGCTCCATCAAGTGTGTTTTCATTACAATCAAGAGTAGGGCAAAAAAAAGTTCTCCCCGCGCCTACGCGTGGGAGTAAGAGTTCTCTCCTCTGACACGTGAGAGTTTCAGTTTAGGCATAACGGCCTATTGGCGGGAAAGGCGGTTAGGGGGACGGGCGGCGATCGGAGGTAGCAGGTGTACACGGGTGGTTACGATGACTTACGAGTGAAGTAATGGCGACGGATGGTAGAAGTGATGAAGCAAACACCATTGATGTTCCATTTGGAATGAAAATGAATCTAAAAATGTGTTGATTGGCAAGATTCTTTCGGAGAAGGAAGTAAGTAAAGCGTCCGTCATGATTGTTGTGCAAAAGGCATGGAATCTTTCCTCTGGAGTGGATGTGGTTCCTGTTGCGAAGAATGCTTTCTTCTTCAAGTTCGCTGATGATATGGAATTTAACTGGATTCTGAGAGGTCGACCATGGTCGATTAATGGTCATGTGTTGAATCTTGTGGAATGGACCAAATTCATGGTCATTGAGGAGTGTGATTTTAGTAAATGTCAGGTTTGGATTCAACTACACGGAGTTCCTCTAGAAGCGGTGAATCTGACCAATGCTATCAGCATTGGAAACCGGATTGGTGATGTAGTAATGGTGGAGGATCCTAATTACAATAAGCGTATGCTTCGTAGTTTCTTGCGCATACGAGTAATTCTGGATCTCAGGACGCCATTGGTTGTTGGATTTTGGATGTCGAAACCTAACGGAGGGCAAACCTGGATCTCTATCAGGTATGAGAAACTTCAAAATTTCTGTTATCGCTGTGGAAATGTTGCTCATGACTTTCGTACCTACAATTTGCCAAGACTAATGTCGGTACCAGATCCTGAGAAACCACGCTATGGTAAATGGACTACTACTAAACAGGTCAAGACACTAGAGGATACACTGGTAGTAATCAGAGAGGGCTGGCCTAAAATAAATGTGAAGTGGCAGAGAGCTAAGGAGAGTAGGAGGAATTTACAGAAAGAAACTACCAGGAATGAGAATATTTTTTTCACTCTTAGTAGAAAATAAGGAGGAAAGGAATAATACAGCCACTGAGATGAAGGAGAGCTTGAAAAAAGAGCTGAGAGATGAGGTGGTTGTTTTAAATATGAATAAAGATGTTGATAGCTCCACTGAAAATGTTGACATAAACCTGAGAGCTCCAAAGGCAAGCAATTATGAGGCTGGATCTACTTCTGGATTGGCAAAAGATATTCCCGAGCATGCCTTTGAAGACACTGGAAAACTATGGTTACAGTGTTGAATTGCCACCGGAAGAAGAAGTATGGTGCTTTATGTTCGGCAAAAGATATTCCCGAACAGGCCTTGGTGCTTTATGTGAAACAAGATTTACATGAGGTGATGGAGAGCTTCTAGAGGCTTGGTTTGAAACGTGTGGCTGAAGAGAATTTGGTACCTGAACTGAGTAAAAGAAGAAGAGTTACTGAAGTAGTATGTGAGCAACCTTCTATTATTACAAATTTCACTGGTAGTCTAAGAAAAACAAAAATGAAGATAAGGAAGGCTGCTTTAAAAAGAGGAAGAAAGAAGTCTGATATGAAAGCTCAAGAGGTAAGTCTTTATGGTAGAATGGAGGGATCTAAATTTGGTAATGCTGAAGGCATGGGTGGGTGGCCTCAAACAGCCCCCATGGAACCATGAAGCTACTTTCCTGGAACTATCAAGGTCTGGGGGCTGCCTTGACAGTTAAAAATCTTAAGGATTGCAATAGGAAATTTAAGCCCTCTATTATATTCTTAATGGAGACTAGATTGAGAAATAAGAAGTTAAAGAAAATTAAAAGATCCTGCAAATTGGAGAACGAATTTTACGTTGATCCTCAAGGTAGATCTGATGGTCTATCGCTTTGGTGGAGTGAAGGTATTGAGTTCGAATTTCTATTTCACTCACAGAATCTGATTCATGTTAAAGTAAACTCTACTGTGTTGAATATTCCTAAGTTCATTACGTTTGTTTATGGTGCCCCTAAAGTTGAAGATAGAGAGGCAGTTTGGAGAAAACTGAGATCCATTACTAGGAATGTTAGTGGATCCTAGTTGTGTGTTGGAGATTTCAATGAGGTAATATCTCAAGAAGAGAAGGAAGGTGGCAGACCTATTAATGTGAGAAGAGTCATGAATTTCTAGATGCTACTTGATGAATGTGGCCTCATTGATTTAGAATTTAAAGGTGCTAAGTTCACTTGGAATAATAAAATGTGTGGGGGTGCCAACATCCGTGAAAGAATTGACCGTGCTTATGGAAATATCTTATTCAGGGAATGCTTTGACAAGGCTCAAGTCTTCCACTCTGAACCTATTGGATCAGATCATCATGTGATATTGGTTAATTGCTGTTACCAAGACGAAAAAGTCCCTAGAATGTTTAAATTTAATGCAGCTTGGGTAGACCATGATCAGTACAGGAGCATGATAAAGGAGGCTTGGAGGTATAGGGAGGGGCGAATGATGAACAGAATGGATGAATTTGTTAGAAGACTGGGTAATTGCAGAAAAGCTTTAATTGATTGGGATAAAAAGGAATTCCCTAACAACAGAAAGCTTATTGATGAGCTGCGGTTAAAACTTAATGACTGTTTGGAAGGTGTGTTGTCTGAGGAGAGGGCCCTACATGCAGAAAGCTTGATGAAGAAAATGGAGGAGGCCTGGGATAGGGAGGAAATATTCTGGTGGCAAAAGGCAAGACTGAATTGGATCAAACATGGAGACAAAAACACTAGATTCTTCCATAATACTGTAATTCAACGCAGGCTAAGGAATAAAATACTCAGATTGAAATCTAATAAGGGAGTCTGGGTGGAAGAGTCTGGAAGAATCAATAGTATGCTTGAAGAATATTATGAGAAGCTCTTTGATTACAAGAGAACTGAACAAACTAAGGAAGTCCTGAAGTATGTGAAGAAAGTAGTAACTGATGATGAAAACTGGTTACTGACTAGACCCATCACTAAGAAGGAAATTGAGCTAGTTGTGTTTGACTTGGGCTTTGCAAAGGCACCAGGATCAGATGGATTCACTGCCATGTTTTACCAATCAGCCTGGAGTGAAGTAAAAGAGGAAGTTTACAGTATGGTAAAGCAGTTTTTTTATGGTTACACTGACCTCAAGAAATTAAATCTTACTCATATAGTCCTGGTATCGAAAGTTGAGAAACCTGAGTTTGTGAGCCAATTTCGTCCAATCGGGCTTTGCAATGTCTCTTATAAGATTATTACAAAAATCATGATAGCTAGAATGAGAGGCTTAATGAGTAAATATATTTCAGAACAGCAAAGAGCCTTTGTGGCAGGAAGGTTAATTCAAGATAATGTGATCCTTGCTCATGAAGCCTTTCAATATTTGAAGAGGAGGGAAAAGGGTACTAGAAGTGATCTGGCATTAAAAATCGATTTGAGCAAAGCTTATGATAAAGTGGATTGGATCTTTCTCATGGAAGTCATGTTGAAAATGGGATTCTGTTTACAATGGGTGAGATGGATAATGGAGTGTGTTACCTTTGTTGAATTTGACATTCTGGTTTTTGGAAAAAAGGTTGCAAAAGTACCCCTAAAAAGAGGAATCAGGTAAGGGGATCCTCTATCCCCCTACCTGTTCATTATTGTGGCAGATGTCCTCTCTTTGATGGTTCAACACCATGTGAATAATGGAGACCTGAAGGGTATAAGATTGTCAAGAGGTGGACCTATTCTCTCCCATTGTTTTTTTTGCTAATGATGCTCTCTTCTTCCTAAGGGCTCAGAAGGAAAATTGTATGGTAATGAAATTAATTCTAGAGATGTTCGGTGCTGCTTCTGGACAAGAAATGAATTTAGACAAGTCATGCATCTACTTCTCAGCCAATACAACACAAGTCTGTAAAGAGGAGGTTGAGCAAGCTTTGGGGATTATAGCCACAAATGAGCCTGGAAATTATCTAGGCTTGCCACTGCTATGGGGAAGATCGAAAACTACTGCACTCAATTTTGTGAAGTACAAAATAAGTAAGAAATTGCAAGGGTGGAGGCAAAAGCTGCTAACATTTGCTGGAAAAGAAGTGCTGATAAAGGCAGTGGCAAATTCTATACCAGTGTACCCAATGTCTAGCTTTCTTTTTCCTCTGAAGTGCTGCAAGGAGATTGATAAACTGATCTCTGACTTTTGGTGGGGCCAAAATGAGAAGGAAGGGAGGAGAATCCATTGGAAGAGATGGGAAGTGATGATTGATGCGAAAAGTATTGGTGGAATGGGTTTCAGGAGTTTTCAAGCTTTTAATAAGGCTCTACTAGCAAAAACGGCTTGGAGAATCATAAAGAATCCTAATGAACTATGGTGTAGGATTTTGAAATGGATTTACTTCCCTAATTTTGACTTTATGAATGCTAACAAAGGTGGTAAGGCTTCATGGTGCTGGTCAAGCATTGTTAAGGGCAGAGAACTTCTGAAGAAGGAATTGTTTTGGAAAATAGGAGGAGGAAGTGAGGTTAGGGTGTGGGGTGATAGATGGATTACGAGACTTCCATATGAGAAACTGAGCTGTGAAGTAGTGAGTGATGATGACAAGAATCTGAAGGTTGCTGATTTAATTAAAGAGGGCAGATGGGATCTTAGTGTTATTGCCTCAAGAATCTCTATTGAAGAAAGAGAGAAGATCATGCAGATAAAAATCCTCCCTTCTAGTAGTAAGGATGAGGCAATCTGGTTGAAGTGCAGGGATGGAAAGTATAATGTAAAATCTGGCTATCATGTTGCCAAGGAAGATATGAAAGAAAGTAGCATAACCTCAAAGCCTAGTAACTCTCATCTGATTTCCAAACAACTCTAGAATTTGCTATGGAAGCTGCATACCCCCCAAAAGTTAAACACTTTCTGTGGCACATGCTTAATGATGCTTTAGCAACTAAGGCTGCCTGCTTTAAGAGGAAATGTGCCTCTAGTAATCTTTGTTCAATCTGTGGTTTAGAGGCTGAAACAATTGAGCATTTGATTTTGCTTTGTCCTTGGGCAAATAGGTGTTGGTTTGGGAGTTCTTTATCTTTGAGGATTGATAGGTCACAAATCACTAGCATTAAGAAGTGGTTTGAAGAACTGATGTTAGGAAATAAAGACCTGAATGAGGAAGGAAAGGCTTTGGTTGCTGTACTTTGTT